CCAAAGGTTAGCCACTGCAGCAGGTAAATCGCAGTGTGCAAAACCGGTGATGAGCCTGTCAAGTGGATAGATTAGCATGACAGGGTTTAAATTTGCATAAGTGAGGAGCTTTAAAGTGTCGGCGGTGCCGGCGGTGGACAGGAGGGTTGCGTGCAACAGCATTTGGTTCTCCATTAAATTGGATGTTTTGTTCGTTCCCCTTAAAGCCCGCAAGCTGTGCTCCAGGTGTAGTAGCCATCTTATCTGATTCTTCTGTTAATTATGGTGATAGAGCTACAGTTCCCTACCACTGTTTGTTTTTCTCAAGAGATTCGTTAGCGAAATCATGCTGAAGTTAACTTTACACTGTTGCAAGTACACAGGCCTTGTTTAGATTGAAAAAAAATTCAGGCTGATGAACAGTAGCACTTTCGTTTTATTTGGTAAATATTGTCTAATCGTGGACCAACTAAGCTCAAAAGATTCATCTCGTGATTTTCAACTAAACTGTGTAATTAGTTATTTTTTTTACCTATATTTAATGCTCCATGCAAACGGCTAAAAATTGATGTGATGGAAAGAGAGTGAAAAAACTTAGAATTTTGAGGGTATCTAAGCAAGGCAACAGTCTAGAGACGGTTCACTAAAACCTTGAACCAAATGCATTTAATGATACGTGAATGAGAAACATGCAGACTCCACGGGATGATGCAGACATGTCAGCCAGCAGGGCCAGTCTATCTGTGAATGGGTATGCCACGCAGCCTGTTCGTTTGGCTGGTCTGGTTCGTGAAGAAGTACTACTGGCTGGTTTACGTGAGAGAAAAATACTATTCCGACAGAAAATTTATCCTCAATGTCAAAATTAACAATGGACTAGCCTTGTTGGAACTATCTTGGAAGATTATTTATCCTCAATGTCAAAATTAACAATGTTCCAGGGGTTCAACAAGGGCAAGAATTGCCTGTTCCTGTCCAGTTACAGTGGCATCTACAAGCCATAGGCTCGATTAGAATGCGGGACGCCAACGGCGTGCAGTTGTCTAGTAATAAAATAGTACAAAGAAAAACAAAAGAACTGACGTTGAGGTTGCGGTACACACTACACATGTGAAGATAACACCCCTTTGAAAAGGGAAGAGCTATACAGTTTACAGGAAAGGAACCACTCATCCAAGAGATCTGAATCATGACTTTTCCTTGTTCGTGATCCTGGTTTTTGTGCCTCCTGTACAAAAAGAGAATAAGCAAATATGAGCACACACCAAAAGAAAATCAAATTTAAGTGCCAATGACATAAATAACGGAACTGCATATATTCATCATTCTCGTAATTGAACAGGTAGAGATATATCTAGAGGAAAATATACAAGATTGTTTGTTAGCTCACAAGAGCAATGCATTAGCTTGTTCCAAGTAACTGAATAAACAGCCTAAGGTTAGCTCATAGCATCTATATTCTGTAATGTCAGACATTAAGCATACCATCAACTTCCTCAAATTCGACCACCTTAATAACTTCAGCAGCTGCATGATACTCAAACCTGCAGAATGAAAAAGCACGGTGTTGAACTGTAATTCATCAGCAATAAAAAGATGTCGATGTTTTCAGGCATCAGAGATGTTCATTTTTGCCAAATCACAGTGGTGAGAATATTCAGGTGCTATTAAAATTTCTGCATAAACAGTGAAGATCATTAAAAAGAAACACCAGATACAGTGCATAGGGTAGAACTACTGTTGAAAAACTTAATGTAGAAGAGCCTGGATTATAGTCTTAGCCACTAGGTCAACTTAAATACTACAATGATACAGACAATCCAAATGTAGAGGGTGGCAGGGTGTAGCAAAAATCAGATCAGCGGAACATTTTAGGCTGGTCTATCAAAGTGTACTTGGCTTTTGGTGGTTGATGTAAAACATATAACATATGTATGACACACAATGTACCACATTGTAGTTATTCTCCTATTTTAATGCTCATTCTCATTTCGCACTTTTTAACTGCGGACATTAGTTCTTTCTTACTATGAGAATTGGTGTCACCATGTTCATGGAAGACAATGATAACCTGCCAATGATGTATAGAGTTTCTAAAGGTCTAAACTATAGTACTGCAGGTACAGCTCCCAAAAGAACTGGGTGAGTTTGAGCTGAGAAGCAATTGATCAGAACAGATCATGGCTATTAGAAGGACACATCAAAGGTTCTCGAGAGACAATATACCTGTTAGAGGAAGCCACCTCAGGTTCATACTCAGATGTGCTCTTGATAGCCTTAACTATGACATCAACAATTTCCTTCTTTCTAGTGCTGGCCATTAAACAATCGTACTCAGTCGGCACAATGATCGCAAAGAAGTTATCACTGAGGTTGCTAATGCATAGCTTATCCACAGCAGCAAGTGCTATCCTCCTCTTCAATATATTGGCATCGGGGTCAACAAGGTATAGAGCAAAGTCTGTGATCACTAGGATGCGCCTTTTCATCTTTCCTGACTGGGTGAACTTTAATACCTTGTCTGCAAAGAGAACTTTGTTGTCCCCTGTAATATATTGAGCATCTACTTAGAGACTTGCATAGTTTAGTTAGAAAACTAAATGGCCATGAGACTGTGCATGAAACTAGGAATAGTTAATGTCAGGCAACCGTATCAATGACACAACATTTTATTGGTACAACAAAATATGCTAATGACACATCGCAATTCATGGCCTGGTAGGCCCAACACATCTAGAATTATACGGTATTACGGTGTAGCTCTTCACATTCATGGATGCATAATAAGGCATGCTAATAACCTAGAAGCATGATATAGATGTGAGTGCAGCATCCGGTACTTGGTAGCACTACATCAGGATGTCAACACCTCCAACACACAAAAAAAAAATCAGGGTGTCAACACGGTAGTTGGTAGAATTGCCTAATGCTACATGTGGAAACTCGAGTCCCGTGCATTAATCCGTCATAATAAGATCAAAACCAGGCATGCTATGAGTCCAAGCTGATGGAGTTATGGCAATTTCTGATGCACCTCATTCAAAAAACATTGGCATCTTTACCACAAGCAAACGCATCAGATCCCCATCAGAGCACTACCGAAACTGCGAAACAACCATCTGTTCGGACATGTAAGCGCCTTGCGCAAACAAAATGTCTTCTGACTTATCAGGCCTTGAGAGGCCAATAGATGAATGAAAATCAGGGGGGGGGGGGGGGGGGAGAGGAGATCCTTTCCCTTCCATCGACTTTTTATATATATATATATATATATATATATATATATATATATATATATATATATATATATATATATATATATATATAAGCGAAACAATTGACCTTTGCAAGATCACACGCATTGTCTACCAACGATAAACTAGCACAAGAGATCAATTGAGACATGAGTAAAGGAACGGCACCTTGCTTGGACAGGATCTTGGTGAGGCAGGGATCATTGGCGAGGGCGGACCCGGTCAAGGACATGGTGGCACGCATGTATACCCGATAATCTTCACAAGAAAAATCGAAGTTAGTAGACATAATACAAGTGTATACTTTTGTAATTAGATATGATCCCAGTTCAATCCCAATACAAAGGGCCAAATAGATGACGTTAGGGTTTGGGTGCTCGGCTTCGCACAGCAGGAGGGGAAGAGAAAGGGGTGGGCATACCTTGTGCGTGCTCGTCGCCGGCCAAGGCCCCGACGAAGACCTGGGCACCTGCCGTAGGGAGGCGGCGGTCGCCCACCCGAGGTGAATGCCTGACGGATCACGGATCCCAGTCAGTGAGATCACCAAGAAACTGGCTGAGAGCGTGTTTGGTTCGAGGCCTTCACAGTTAGCGACATGATTTGCATAGGCAAGCCTTCGGGTCAGTCTGGAGATCTTTTATTATTATTATTATTATGTGAAATTAAACTGATTCTTATAAAATTCTTGCACTGTGTTTTAAACAGACTTTATAATTTTCTAATTTGTTTTTAGGGAATTAGGAAATCTATAAGCCTCTCACACGTTGAGATGATAGTATTTAAAATTTCCAATTAAATTGAAGTTACGATATTTAGTCGCTTCTAAATGGCGATAAATTATTTCGTAGTACAGTTGGCGAGAATGGAATCTCGCCATATCAAAGCCACAAGAAAAGGTGGCAGTGTGAAGGAAGGGATTTTTAACTTTTTGTCGCCCTTACGCTTAAGGTGGGCGTTCGGTTCTCGGTTCGATTCCCTCGGTTATTGATGAAATTCAGTCCTAGAGGAACCGATCGGTTTCAAAAAAATTTAGGAACCGAGTTTTTTGGTTCTAACTGAACTAACCGAATTTTTTCAGAAGACCTCAAGACAATAATAAATATACTTGTTCTAAGGCAAATTTATGCAACACTATATTCATTTTTAATAATAATAATATATAAGAAAACAATAGCAATATAGTAACACAAATATATAACAGTTCAAATATAAAACACTACACATAAATCAAACATAATCCTATAAAATACAAGTAAGTGAAGTATAATTCATGTAATTCGGTTCTTTCGGTTAATTCGGTTAACCGAGAGTAGGAACCGAATTTTCTTCGGTTATTTCGGTTCCTCAATATCAGGAACTGAATTTTTCGGTTCCGGTTCTTTCGGTTCGGTTTTCGATTCTCGGTTAAATTTGCCCAGGGCTACCATACGCACTCCTCCGTTTGCCATCTTTATGCGCGCCCCTATATATTTGTCATCGCAAATGGTAACCCTCTTACGTTTTTGCCATTTTTGCTAAGGTGGCACGCCAGATGGGCATGCCAGCGTGACAATGAGCCTAGGAATGCCTACAGAGCATGCGAAATGACCTATGCACCCCTACTGCTTCTCTCCCTCCAATCGCTGATGCGTGGGCCCCACATGTCAGCTTCATCTTCAACCTCCCACCATCACCTCTCAGAGAGGGAAGGGGGGACTCGTGCAGTCCCGGTCGAGCTTCTGCCACTCCTCGACCTTCGGCACGCCTTGTTGAACCGCACGCTCTGCCATGTTCGCGCTTCTCGTCAACACCGTCTTGGTCTCCCCTGCCGCCCCAAGGCTCCACTCCTCGCGGCCCACCACGGCACGGCGAGCAAGCGCTCGCCACCGGTGTCGAGACGAAGCATCCGGCGGCGGCGGCGACAGTGGCTACAGGCTGGGGGGCGTCCGCGGCTCGTGGGCGTCGGACTACGGCCTGTACGAGCTGCTGGGCGTGGAGCGGTCGTCGCCGCAGTCAGAGATCAAGGCGGCGTACCGGTCGCTGCAGAAGTGGTTTCACCCGGACGTAGCCGGCGCCGCGTGCGGGCACGACATGGTCGTCGTCCTCATCGAGGTGTACGCGCTGCTCTCCGACCCGGCTGCGCGCCTCGCCTACGACCAGGAGCAGGCGCCCCGCTCCGAGTTTGCCGGCTACATGAGCCGCCCGCTCTACTCCTCTTGGCTTGGCCCCGAGTCCGTCTATGACCGCGCCCGCGCCGTCGCGCAGTGGGCTGACGACGAGGACAGGATCATCAACGCCATCAACACCTGCCCCGTCGACTGCATCTCGTACGTAATTTATTTATTTAAGAATTAATTCTTCATCCATCCATGCCATCATCGATCTTCTGATTCCCAACAGTTCCTGCTGCATCATCCGTTCATCTAGGATGGTGGAGAGGTCGGACCTAGCGGCTCTCGAGTTCCTGATGTCCAAGTAGTCGCGCGGCAGAGTTCGCGTCTCCTAAGGCAACGCCGGATTTCCGTTCATCCAGGATGGCGGGAGGTTGAAGACAAAGCTGGCATGTGGGGCCCACGCGTCAGCGATGGGAGGGAGAGAAGCAGCAGGGGTACATAGGTCATTTCGCATGCTCTGTAGGCCTTCCCAAGCTCGCTGCCACACTGGCGTGCCCATCTGGAGTGCCACCTCAGCAAAAATGGCAAAATCGTAGGAGGGTTACTGTTTGCGATAGCAAATATGTAGGAGCGCGCATAAAGATGGCAAACGGAGGAGTGTCATCCGTAATGATGGCAAAAAGTTAAAAATCCCGTGAAGGAATGCACCACTGTAGAACCAATTACATACCTTATAAAATTGTTAAATTTGAAAACCTCATCCTTAAAGACAATGATATGTTACTATCAAATCTAGGCTGGAATCAGTAGCGATAACGAATTTTTAGTGTCAATGTCAATAGGATCCTAATCATTATTCAGATCCTAGGCTTAAAATCCGATAGTGAAGCGTTATCGTAGCCGACTCCGGCGCATATGGCGGTGGTAGGCCCGCAAGGATTGCTAGTTCTGTCAAAGTGGTGGACATCTCTAAACATCATAACTTTTCATATGACGATGTATGTACAATTTACATGAAAAAAAACATTTTTCGATGTCATCTACAACTTTATATATCACAGTGTTCTCATTTGAATCCACATTGGTGCCAAAATAATTGTGACAAGTTTCTTGTTGTATTTGTAGATCTGAGCATCATATTGATTATTTGGGCAGCAAGATGGATTCAAGTGGAATAAACCGCAAAGTTGTCGATATCGTCGAACTATATAATTTTCATATATGAAGTTTATCTTTGTTCAAGCTCATATGAAAAAGTTATAGTTTTCTTAAGTGCACTGCGCCGTTTGAATCGACGGACAGGTAAACTCCGCCGTATCGATCTGCGAACCCAAGTCATTAGCATTTTTTATTGGGACAATTATTTTTGCAAAAACAGTACAAAAAATTAATAAAAAGTTCAGAAACGAGAACTGAAGAGTTACCCCGGTAAAAAGGCCGTACTTCAGCCCAGCCGAAAGAAATTCGTCGCTCCAACAGAAGGGGACGGCCCATGCACAGGTTTCCCAGAGCTGTTGTGGCCTTGTGGCATGCGAGAACACGCCACGCCAGTCCCGTCACCCGAGGGCCGTGATTTTGCCGGCCGCGGTCACGGGCGTGTGAGCTGCGGCCTGCGGGCTCGCGCCGTGGCGCCGGTGGCCTCGCCCTGAATCCCGTGTGATCCCAAATGGCCCACGCGCGCAGCCGGCTGCCTGTCTACAGCCTACACAGGTCACGCGCGAGCGTAGACATCCGCGCCGCGCGCCGCCGCGCCTTTGCCTCACCGGCTGATGCGTCATTATTTACGCTGCGGCCGGCCGGCGGTGCACAAGTGTTTGGTCAAACTACGTGCACAAGCATCATAACTAAACTGGCGTCGACCGGCGTGTCAAATTTCCTGATCCTGCATCAGCACCCAAGTCAGCCACGTTATGTACACCATCGCAGCTCATACCTCGCTTGATGGCCTCGGTCGTACGTACAGCAGATCACATTGGTTACATCGCATTGCCGTCGTCAGAGCGCATGCTTGCACGGCAATTCCTCCTACTTATCCAAAGTACAGGAAAAAGGGATGCATGCAGATCGATCCACCAGCAGGCCAAGTCGTTCGTAACGTGCAGGACTCCATGATCTGTGGTAAATGCCAGCTGCGTGTATGCCTGATTCTGAATGAAAAGCTGAAACGCCTCCTCGGAATCTCGCATGCAGTGCAGCGGCAACACAGGTCTCCCATGCGTACACGGTACGCTGATACAGCACGCATCAACTCACGCCATGCCAGCTAACGTGCTTTCACGGATCACGGGCTCTCGGCTTCAAGCACGCCTTCGCCACCGGGCAAATACAAAAGGGCATGTTCCCTTTTCTTATAATCTTTTTTTTTCAGCTCGTTTTTTTTTCAGTTAGAATAGTATTTTTTTCTTACAACAAATTAGCCAGAACAATATTTCGGATCGATTTTTTCAAAACGAACGGGGCCGAAACGTGGAAGAGCAGACAGAGACAGGTACTGGCCTGGTCGTCACAGTCGACCGGATCGATCGCTTGCCGCAGGCGAAAGGCCCCGCCCGCCCCCAAATCCATTAGAGCGAGCGTTCACCCGATTTCCGTTCAGCGAACAGTGCGCGCCTCGCATGGACTGGCTGCCGGCGGCTGACGTCATTTTTTTTGGAAAAGTAAAATATTTATTTCAAAATACTATAACTTCTCTGTTTTTAATTTCATCTACACCGCTGTGTTCTATGTGATGAGATGAACAAAACAAGACCTCACTTGCATATGTTTAGAAGAATTTTTTCCAGTAGCAATTTATGTGTATTAAATTATGACATATAACATATAACCTACAATTTATGCACACAAGTTGTATTGAATAACTTTCTGCTGGTCAGATTTATTCGAGTGGCATGGCTACACCTGCACAAACGTTCTTTTTTCTTCCTTTTTGTTTTTTCTACCATTTTTTCTCTTTTTTGTTATATATATTTGTAAGTTATACTACATAATTATTTTTGTATATAGTTTTCACATCTATACTAATATGTTATGGTATTAATTTGTACATCTAAGTTCTTGAATATAACTTATACGTCCAACTTTGCATCTACGTCATTCATCAAGTTATATATCTACGTTACGTTATACAAACAAGTTATACATAAAAGTTTTTCTATATAATTTTTGTAGCTTTCTATGAAATTATGTTAATAAGTTTGTTCCACAAAATATTATACATAAAAGTTATGCGTATAACTTTGTCATGTAGTAAATTATATGTATAAGTTATGTGCTTTAACTTTGTCACGTTGAAGGTATATATATGTTAAAGTCATGTGTATAAGTTATATGTATAAGTTGTACCTAACTTGTCTTTTCATGTGTATGCTAGGTAACTTATTTGATTAACTTATGGTATATAGTTATGTATCTAACTTGTGTTCTCATATGTATGCTACCTAACGTGTTTGATTAACTTATTGTTCAGAGTCATGTAACTAACCTGTCTTTTCATGTGTACGCAACATAACTTATTTGATTAATTTATTGTATAAAGTTACGTATGATCAACTTACTGTACTTAGTTTCATATTTATCTCCCTATGTTAGATTATTATGTTAGTTTTTGCTATTAAGTTATGTGTTTTTTTATAACTTTGTTCTTTTTGTATTTATGATTTTTAAATATTAAATATTTTGTAGATCTTGCAATTGAAGACATAGATGCTGAATATTATAATTGTACAAGCTATGCAAATCTATTTTGTAACTTGTTATTGAAGTTTGCATCATCTCATGGGATTTTGTTTTGTAGTCTGGTGTAAAAGTTATTTTTATTTTTCTCCCCACCCTTTTTAAACCCTTTTTCATGTTCCCAAATGATTAGTTTATGAAACGAAAAGAAAAATGCTGATGAAATCTAAAGAGAATGTTCTATAACTTAGCACGTTTAACTTATACCTCCGAAGTTATGTTGTGTAACTCAGTTTGTTTAAGTTATGCGCAAGAGGAAAGAGAATGACAGGTTCCCGTGCACGCGCGCGAAAAGAAAAACAAGACGGACTCGTTCGCGTGTGCAAAAATAAAATAAAACGCTTCGCTACCAAATGGGGAAAGTGGTGGGATTTGTTTATTCCTAAAATGGAAATTGCAGCGGCTGTCGGATCGTTCGTCCGACCGTAATCGAGTGAACGTTCGTGATTTATGCCATGTTTCGCTTGGCTGATAAGTCAGGGCTGAAAGTACTGTTGACTGATTCGTTGTAAGAGAAAAATATTATTTATTAGCTAAAAAAATATGACTTATAAGCTGAGTGAACTGGGCGTTAGTGCCTGTTTGGTTCGCGTAGCAGTAGAGCCTGGCTCGTATCTGAGAGCCAGGCTCACATGGGACAGGCTGAGCACATGCAACGCTGTCATGTTTGGTTGAGTGTATCTAATCAGTCTGGCTGAGAAGAGATGTTGTTTGGTTGCCTGTACGAAGATATACTGCATGGGATAAAAATATTATAAGGTTATGATTATGATTTTTATTTTGTACAAATACACTCTTAAAGTTCTTATTTTATCTAATTATGTCTTAAACATTTTTAAAACAAATTAATATCACTTGATATTTACTAATCATATATTAATACATCATTAGTCGAGTAAACAGCTGCATCGAGAGAGCCTGGCCCAGCAGAAACGGCCGATTCGGGCGTTTCCCCAGAGCCTGGCCGCGGGGTGCTTTTTGCACGTCCAGAGCCTGACCCGACGCCAGGAGCAGGCAACCAAACGAGGGCACCCTGCATCCCGTCAGCTTGGTTCAGGCAGATGCAGGGAACCCGCCCACCCTGCCGCCACGGGCCGCGTACGTACATGCATGCATGGCAAGGCACTGCCATACTGGCGCATGCACGATTCGGACTGGGAAACTGCTACGTCGTCGCTTGCCCAAGCGACTAGTAGTACTCCTAGACAGGTGTGTTGTGTACGTAGCTGCAGTAGCACATCAACTTGTCAATTTCAGCTAACGTAAATACGCACAATTTTAGTTATTCGCGTCTCACCTTGTCTCCTCTCGTTGGATGCCCCAAATGACTTGCAGCCTGTTCCACTATAAAAAACGATTTTTAGCAACGAAGCTTTTTTTTATAGGGATGGCTCCACTACCAACCACCCTTACAGTGGATGAGCTCGGGTCCCATAATTTTAGCCACCCGTATAAATCTAACAGTAGGGGCGGCTGGTGATACGAGCCGCCCTTATAAATGGCCCTACA